GGAAACACACAGAATCAGCTGACCCAAGCTAGTGAGAGATCACTGACTCAGGTCTGACAAATGGGGAATCTGCGTAAGACCAAACTAGACTCCCTTAATATAGAGGACAATGGTGTGACTGGGACAATATATGAGGCCACTGACAGTGGGTCCAAGACCTAACACTATTACAAACTGACTTAGTGGAGCCCATTCTATATGGAGAGATACAATGCCCAACCTAGACACAGGGGGGTGGGGATGGGGAGGTGCCTTGGTCCTGCCTCAACTAGATGATGAGACAGACTTAGTAGACTTCCTAGGGAAGGCCTTACCCTCTCTGTGGAGCAGATAGGAGTGGGGAGGGGGCGGAGTGAAGGGAAGGAGGAAAGGGGAACTGGGATTGGAATGTAAAAAATTAATTAAAAAAACAAACAAACCTCAAATAAATAATTTAATGATACACTTCACAGTCTTCAATGAAATGAGAGCAAACAAAACTCAAAATTAGTGGAAGGGAAGAAATAATAAAGGACAAAGAAAAAGAACTGAAATAGAGACTAAAATCACAATGACACCAAATGATCATAAACTTCAGTATGAACAATTTCCCTGACAAACCATGCATACAGTGCACTGTGGAGTCACTCTCCACAAGAGCAAACCTTGCAGGTAAGTTTATTCTGTCAAACCCTCAAGATTTCAGTCTGGCCATTTTTTTTAAAGATGAACTCAATGCATCTTTCCTGTTATTTTGATAGGGTTCAGTGTAGGAACTTGACAACTTCCCATATGGCTCAGGATAGCCTTGAACCTACAATCTTCACCTCCACCTCTGTCTGAGAGCTGAGATTTCTTTTAATGGTGTTAAGTTCCTTAGGAACCATGTCTCCATTAACACATATTAAAGAGACTTTTCTGACCAAACTGCAAGCTTATCAAGCCTTTCTGCTGAGCCCCTCCCTTTTCACTGTAAACCTGACTAGAACCAGCTGGTAATAACCATACCACAGCCTGAATTCTGGTCTGACTTGAAATTTCTTATTCCAGATTTATTCGCCATCATCTCTGAACTTAGCCTTACAAAAAATCTCAGAACATGGACACAATCAAGAGAAAGTCTTTGCCAGAACATAACATGAATAGTGTCTGGAGGTAGACCAATTGCTAGTAGAGTCACCCCACTTGCAACCCCTGAACACAGAATTTGCTGTCCTCCAAACTTGCACCAGATTCCCCCACTAAGCTCTGTTACAGCATTTCAGCCTCGTCATAGTGTACTTCTCCATCTTTTCCAGTCCTCTCCAGTGGACTGGTTCATAAGAATACCTTCCTTCGACACCAGCCCCCTGTGCTAGATTTGTTTTGTTGTTGTTGCTGTGATAAAGTATTTGATATAGATAACTGAAGGACAGAAAGAACACACAGGCTATCAGTTTTAGATCTTTTTCTTTAGCATGATGGGGAGGGTACAGCAGAGCAAGGCAGCTCACATCATGGCTGCCAGGAAACAGAACACATGCACGCCTTTTTCTCTTTTCCCTCTTATATTCCATCTGGGCTCCCAGCCTATGTGTGGGGTGTACTAGCCACATCTATGAGAAGCTTTCCCTTCCAGCCAGTCTTCTCTGGAAATGCCCTCCCAGGAATTTACTAAAACTTTCTATGCCTCTCAGAGCAATCAACTTGACGATTATTACTAATCATCAAAAATACCCAAAAGAAATGGTACATTTTAAAAATACCTGGATTAGCAGTTAAGAACACTGGCTGCTCTTCCAGTGAACCTGGGTTTGATTTCCAGTGCCCACATGACAGCTTATAAACTGTGATTCTACTCCTCTTTTTGCCTCCAGAGACACTGCATGCACATGGCACACGGACATACATGCAGGTGAACCATATCCATAAAATAAAGAATATGTACCCGTAAAATTAAAAGACGAGTAATATAAAAGAAGATAGAAAAAGAGAAATAAATAAAGAACAGATTGACTAAAAAATACAGCCCTCAAGATGATGAACTATAATATAATCATATCAGTACAGTTGTTAACACTCCGGATAAAGGGATAAAAAAGCAAAACCCAACTACATTCTGTGTATAAGAAATCCTTTTAATAGCCAGGCAAGGTAGCAGGCACATTTAATCCCAGTACTTGGGAGGCAGAGGCAAGATCTCTGAGTTCAAGCCCAGCCTGGTCTACATAGTGACCAGGACAGCCAAGGTTGCAGAGTGAAACCCTTACTCAAAAGCTATGACAACAAAAATTCCTTCATTAGAAGCAAAGGTATATATGTATATATTGCAAACACTAACCAGAAGAAAGCAGCAATAGGTATATTGATGACAGAAAAAGATAATGTTATAAGCAAGGGAACCACCAAGCATGAAGGAATAAGGAATAAGAACTAGGAATCCTTGATATGCCTGCTCCTAAGTGAGCCTCTGAGTGTACATGAGACAAAAACTGTGGAACTGAAGGAAAAATGGGCAAATATGTGTTTAGGGTTAGAGATTTTAAGACCCCTCTCTCAGTAGTTGCTAGCACAAGCTGACAGAAAGTCAGCTGATGACAGCATACACAGAACAATAGCAAACACATGTCCAAGTGTGTTTGAACTTCCACGAAGATGGACCATACTTGAGGCTATTAAACAGAAACATTTTAAAAACAAGAAAAATTTAAATGGATAGAGAACTAAGTATATTATTCTTGAGCCACAATGGAACTGAGCTAGAAAACTCTGTGTGTGTGTGTGTGTGTGTGTGTGTGTGTGTGTGTGTGTGTGTGTGTGTGGTGGGTAGAAATCATGAAAGTGTTCTAAATAAAACAGTAATGAAACAATTTGGAAATGTCAAAGAAAATTAAATTGTGTGTGCATTTGCGTGTGTGTGTGTGTGTGTGTGTGTGTGTGTGTGTGTGTCTGTGTGTGTCTGTGTGTGTGTCTCATCTGTGTGCAGGTTTTGAAGTGTTGGGTTTCTTCTTCTATTACCTCTGACCTTGTTTTTTGAGACACACCCTCTCACTGTTTGATATATTTGAGTACTCATCACCAAACCAAAGTTGTTTCCCTATGGAAAACAGTAAATTTCCAGAAATTTTATAGTTTTATCTTTCCCATTTCAGTCTGTTTGGGATAAGATGAAAAGTCTGAGCTTTACTTTTTGCATATGAACATGAAATTGTTCTATAATCTGAAACTTACTCTTTATTTATCAAATGCCCTCAATTTTCTTAAATCTCAGGGTCAACTATTTATTTGTATCTGTTTATGAACTCTATTCAGTTTTACTGATGTATATTTTCTCATGACTACCACACCAACTTAATTATTGTAGCTTTATTATGGCACTGAAAGTGCGTAGCATGAATCTTCTTTGTTGGGTTTTCTGTTGACATTTTTTGTTAATGGTTTTTAAAGAAAGAGTGTTACTGTTAGCTGGGAGTTTGTTATATCACCCAGACTGCTCTCAAATTCTCAATTCTCCTGCTTTGATCTCTAGATCAAATCTCTAGATTTGATCTCTAGATCAAATCACTGAGCTCTAGACCAGTGAGAGACCTTGACTCAAAATCAAAGGATGTTTATGCCTGAGGAATGGCATTGAGGCTGACCTCTGGCCTACACACACACACACACACACACACACACACACACACACACACACACACACACACACACACCACACACACACAACACACACACAACACACAAGAGAGAGAGAGAGAGAGACAGAGAGAGAGAGAAAGAGAGAGAGACAGAGAGAGAACATAAAGATCAATCACTGACTAGAAGAACCCACTCAATCACATGTCTGAAAAAGGACTTGTACTTAGCATATATAGTGAACTCTTAAAATTAACAAGTAAACAGGAAACCCAAAAGTTCTAAAGAGACCAAACCAAACAAGATTTGTGTATAGAAATTGAACATTCGGAAAAAAAGATCAATCTCTTAATAATGTTTAAGAATTCAGGAATAGTTTTTGTTTGTTTGAGATAGAGTCTTACTGTGTAGCACTTGTTGGTCTTGAGTTCAAAGAAATCAGCCTGCCTTTGTCTTGTGAGTCCTAAGATGAAAGACTACCCCAGCAAAATAATCTATATAATCTCTTACTTCAATGATAAGAACTGTCTGGAAACTAAATTCAATACTACATATACCAAGAGGGTACTCTCAATGAGTCTGTGCAATACTCCTGCTGTAGACCCACAGCTGCCACGCCTGGCTAGAGAATTCTTAAAGTTACAATCACAATGGAAGACCATTACATATTTGTTAGAATGACTGAAGTTAAAGAACACCAGTAAGTGACACAGCACTAAATCCTGGTGAGAATGTAACAGGCACACTCATTGCTGGTGGGAATGAACACTCACATAACCATTCTCAAAGACAGTTGACCAGTTTCTCATTAAGCCAAACACCAACAATACAACCAGCATCTCCATGCCTTTGTGAAGAAGGTGGATTGATACCATTTGCACTCTGATCTGCCATGGTGAGATGGAAACACCACCCACACAGAACTCTTTTCCAAAGTCTGTAGTGCAAGTCCACAGGTGAGAAAACTACAAATCAAGGAACATTGGACAAAACAGCCACTACTCTGAAATCAGTGAACTTTATGCTTGCATCAATTTCAAGTTCTCATCAAAATTAAGCTCTCATACACAACCAATTCCCTCACAGACATACCCCCTGCTGCCCATTGCAGACACTCCAGTACCACTGCATAAAATCTTTTAGGGGTACTTACTGTTAGAATGTGCATCAAAGTTGGTCTGGTTTCCTGTCCCTACATCCTGCCCCTCCCTTCTCCTTTCTGGTTTGTAAGTTGAAGGAAGGATTTTTTCCCAGAAATTTTAGGAAGGCTACTTCTTTTGTTATGAAAATATAGCTTCAGTTGATACCATATCAGAACTTAGAGAATATCATCAACTTAAACATTCAACTATATGTAATGAGTCTCCAGTCTGTGCTAAGCACCCCTGCTTAGTATCCTAGGAATAGAACTAACTTGATTTAAAGGTTAATGTCTTTGTCACAATCTGAGTCTTGACATGTATGGTTTTAATGATGGCTGCCTTGACATCCTCGTTCCTCAGGGTATAGATGAGAGGGTTGAGAACAGGGGTGAGAATAGCAAACACCGTATTGCCCATGATGTGGAAGTCTACAGGGAGGTTGGTCCTGTAGGCCACATAGGCTATGGCAATGGATGAGTAGTAGGTGCCCACCACGAGCAGGTGGGAGCTGCAGGTGGAGAAGGCTTTGGAACGCCCTTCCCTGGAGTTGATACGCAGCACTGAGGCCAGGATGCGGGCATAGGAGAGAAGCACCAGGAGGAGGGGGAGGAAGGACACCACCATGGTGATGCAGAAGCCCATGAGGGTCTGGGGGCTGGTGTCTGAGCAGGAGGCCTGGACCACAGCCAGGTGGTCACAGAAGCAGTGGTAGATGTAGGCGATGCTGTCAAATGTTATCTGAGAGGTCTGTGTCACAGCTGGGATGGGCAGGAGGAGGGCAGTGATCCAGGCACTGGCTGCCAGTGCAGTGTTTGTCTGTGGGGTCATGTGAACAGGGAAGTGCAGAGGGCGGCAGATAGCCACATAGCGGTCATAGGCCATGACCACCAGGATGAAGGCTTCTGAGCAGTTGAGGTCATGGAAGAGATACATCTGCAGGAAGCATGCTGGGAAACTGAGGAAATGGTCTTCCAGCAAGAACAGGGACAGTAACTTGGGGACAGTGGTTGTAGTTGAGAAGATGTCTAGAGCTGAGAGGTTCCTCCACATGGGCTTGTGGAGGCTGGGCTCTGTCACCACAGCCACCAGGATCAGGGTGTTCCCCACCAGGATGAGCAGGTAGAAGAGGAGGAAGAGGAAGAAGACAGGAAGGAAGAGGTATTTTTGCAGAGAGGGGATGCCTGTAAGGTAGAAGATGGTCTGAGAGTCCCCTGACCCATTGCAGGCTTTGTTCTCCATGGCAGGTTAAAGCCAGATGGATGCTCAGGAGGCAGGGAGCAGACATCTCAGAATCAAGTTTACCTGTAAACAGAAGGACCAGAAATTCTGGCATGAGAATTGCATAACAACCAGATCATTGTTCAATTAATATAAACAGTTTGTTTACCACCATTTCTAGAGGAAGTATAATGGGCTTGGTCTATCTCAAGTTCTTTATCCCAGGTGTGTAGCTCAGTGGGTAGAGGTCTGGCCTAGCACGCTAAAGACTGGTTCAACTCCCCAGCACGTCCTAAACCTGAGATAGCGACCCAGAGCTGGAACAGGAGGATGAGGAGTTTAAAATCTTCCCCAAATTCTTTCTCTAGTACCAAATATACTCTTTGCTTTTAAAAATTGAATATATATAAAATATCTGCACCAATAAGTCCATATGATGAATGCTTAGAAGATAGTAGACATTCTCTAGAAATCCTAATGGTAAAGAAAGACATTTAATCATCACTCCCACATAACCATCTCATTGTATTTTGGAAGAACTTAGGATGGTCGTTTTCTCTCTTTCTTTCTTTCTTTCTTTCTTTCTTTCTTTCTTTCTTTCTTTCTTTCTTTTCTTTCTTCCTTTTTTTTTTTTTTTTGGTTTTTCAAGACAGGGTTTCTCTGTGTAGCTTTGGAGCCTATCCTGGCACTCGCTCTGGAGACCAGGCTGGCCTTGAACTCAGAGACCCGCCTGCCTCTGCCTCCCGAGTGCTGGGATTAAAGGCGTGTGCCACCAATGCCCCGCAGATCGTTTTCTTTATGTATTATATGATCTTTTGGGGGATACCAGATTCTCTAAGATGGTACCCTATTTTCCTTTCTCTTTTGAGAAACTTAAACATTTTTAAAAAATTGTTATCTTTGTCACCATCCACTTATAGAGACCTAATGTCTCTGAGGTCTGCTAGAACACGTTGCCTTCCCATCATAATTGCTAACCTGGGACTGACCTGGGACTAACCTTGTTTGCCTGGCTCAGTTTTCTACTGTCTGCTTCTAAGTTGAAACATCTATATTGTGCCTCTGGGATGTCTATACTTTGGCTCTGAGTTGGAGGGTGCTCTGTCATTGTGACAGGGCAAGGGTTACACTGAGAATGCTCCAAGAGGGAAGAAGCACTCTCAACTCTGGTCCCAGTGACTGTCCCGTCCCATAATTCCTCAGTGAGAAAAAAAGTAAGCAGGTCCACTGATTGACGCTGTCTGGAGGCTGTTTCAGCTCAGCAAGTTCTCTGACTGGCCACTCCTTGGACCCCACTCAGGGCTGACATGGTACCCTGGGATGGTTTGTGGGGCACTGGCACATAAAGTGGTTCCAATTAGACAGTACATCTCAAAGGAGTCAGAAGCCAGTATTTCAACCCCCAAATCTGGAGGTATTGAGATGAAGAAAATTAATGACTTATTCTCAACTTTGGGCTCATCCCTTGGACAAAAGCTATTAGGGCATTCATAATTCCAGGGATCCATGAGTACAGTCTCCTTGCTTGCTGAGAGCCAGTCTCATTTCCTACTCTTCCAAGGAAACTTCTCTCATGCATCAACCACTAATGCAATAACTGGAAAGTTTATTTTAAATTTTCAGTTCCCTGCATAGGGTGGTGACTATGCACAGGACAGGGGTTTCCCAGATGCCTCAGCCAGCTAGCCGCTCCTGCAGGGTGTCTCTGCTACACCTTTGATTTCCTGGGAGAAGGCTCATTCACCCAGATGTCTTTTCTAGCAAACCCAGAAGGTCAAATTTCCAAGGGGAAACTATTACAGTAAAGCTTTCTTTCTCTTTTTAATTGGTAATGTCAGATAAAACTAAACATAGTTTTTTCCTGGTCTCTGAATGATAGAATTTGTGTTAACACTTACTGTTTCTTATGCTCATTTTCAGGTTGGGGTTATTTTTCCCAGAAGTATATGCTAGATCTGAGTGGGGCTGTCCTGGGCTTAGACCAGCAGGCCCTGCCCCAGAAGATCTTCCCTGCAGCAACTGTCTAGATACCAGTTCCAGTGGGGAAAGGCAGAAAGATGTACAGGTCATCTGAATGTCAACCTAAACTTATCATCATCTCCTTTCAGCATGTAGCACTACCAGAGAGAAGCCATCCCTCTTCAAAATCAAGAGCCTGAATGTCAGAGAAGGGTGGATCATGTCCAAGGCCATGAGTAGTGAAGAGTGAGATCAGAGGTCTTTTTGAAGTCAGCCTCAAAGGACTAAGTCATACCTGTCAATCCAGAGAGCTCTCCACTCTCAGGCTGAGACTTGGAGCCTTGAGCCTTGCTTTGCTCAGCTGTATAGTGATGGCTTTGAGGTAAAGATTTCCAAAGGGTTGCGGTTCAATGAGCCACCTTCTAAGTGTCCCCTATAAGTTTGGCAGAGGAGAGGCTACAGAGAGAGATGCCACACAATCTGTGCTCTAAAGGATAGAGCACCCTTCCCTTCACAAAGCTCTGGCTCTGTACAAGTCAAGTATATGGACTTGGGAGACAGAGGACTGTATGTAAATCCCTGTTGCAGCCTCTGTGTGTGAACTTCATGACACTTCAATTCTGAGCCTTTTTTCCTCATCTGTGACCTTGAAGGTTTTTATTTTATTTTTGTTATTGCTTAGACAGACAATGTTTACTGAGGCTAAGCCATTTGCTGGAGTTTCCCATGACTCCTGTTACCTGCCTTGAGACTGTCTGAATCTTACCTGCAGGTACACTTCCTTGCCTTCATCTGGCAGCTTATCTAATCCAGGAGCCTATAGCTCATGTGTGAGCAATGATCCTGGATCCTAGGAGTGTCCCTCTTTTTATACTCAGTCTTTCTGGCCCAAGTCTATATAGGCCCTGGACCCCAGTCTCTGTCTCTCTATATACAACTCCCTACATGTCTTTAGCTTCTCCATCCCTAGCAATGATTACCTGTTGGATGTGGTCCACAGTGATGTCTACTGTTCTCTACAATAGGCCTCCAGTGAAGCAGCAGGCTGGGCTGAGCTTAAACTGTTCTCTACAATAGGCCTCCAGTGAAGCAGCAGGCTGGGCTGAGCTTGAGCTCATTAAAACCTCAGCCCTCTCCTTCCAGCCAGGTCTCTTGGGTACTTTTCTTCAAGGTGTCTCTTTTCTTGTACAATACCCCATGCTCTCAGGAAATCACTCACTGGCATCTCCCACAACATTCATCCCAGGGAGGCAAGATTTGTCTCTCAGCTTTGCTGATAATGAGAAGATTGTCACTAACAACCCTCAAGGGCCCAGAATTTTACACTAATGATACAGTCTTTGTTCTCATGACCTCATCTGGTCCTCACAACAACAGAGGAGACAGGAAGTAACAACAGGGCATGACAAGAAGCCCAAAGGAAGGACAATAAGACCCAGGGAGTGAAATAACTTGTTCATTTTAACAGTGATGGCTGGAGGCAGAGTTTTCTGACCCAAAGCTCTATGTCTTGCTTAGGGCCTTGTTTACTGTAGCAGGATTGAATACTGCCCAAGAGTGACCTGGGGATATTGAATATGAAATCCCTCCTGCCTAGGTTTGCTGGCTCTTCATTAACTTTCATCATGGCCATAGAAATAGGAATCTGCCTTCCAGACAAGGCTCTGGGTCCAGAAATAGTTCCCCTTCCTTTTTGTTTCCCCTTCAGAGTAAGCTGTATTAGTTGTGTTTTTCTTAGCTTGTTGTTTCAGTGGCATGGGGTCTCCCAATTGCACGTGACAATTTCAGCTTCCAAGTCAATGAAATTATTATTCTAACCTTGGTAGAGGTGTGCATTCTTAGAAGCTATGGTGTTCAGAGAAACAGCATCTAAAACTAAGGGGAAAGGAGAAAATATTTTGATTGTTAGGGCTAGTGAGTGAGGCCCTCCTATTTTCTCCCTCACATATATTCTGAACAGACCAGAAACTGCCGTGTTACTGGCGGCTTGTTAGGAGTATGGGTTTAACTTATCAGGCAGTACCTGTACCCCCTTCCAGCTATAATCAGCTAGCCAAGTGGAGTCTTCACTCTGTAACTGGTCCCTTGAATACAGCTACTCACTTCTGAGTGATGAGCTGTATTGTACGATTTGAGAGGCAGGGTGAGTCTTGCTGCCTCACTTCTTTTGCTATAGATCGTGTGCCTTTGTAAAAAACAAGGTCATACAGAGATAATCGTGATGAGTAAGTTATTATGGTTTGCATAGGAAATATTTCCTGAAGGCTCATGTGTTAAAGGCTTGGCTGCCAGTCAATGTGATTTGGGGAAATGATTGGATCATGACAGCTCTTACTTCCTCAGTGGATTTATTCATCAATGTATTCATAATTTGATGATGCTATTGGAAAGTGATATAAACTAGGAAGTGGTAGTGCATCCTGTACTTCTGTTCATGTTCATATTCACCATGAGGTGAACAGCTTTACTGTGCCTTGACACAAGCCCATGGAAACCAAACCAAGTAATCTTGGCAAGCCTCTAAAGCGATGAGCCCAAATGGACACTTAAGTTGACTTTATCAGTCATTTTTGTCATGATTTACGAGAAGTGACTAATACTTGAGGCATTTATTAAATGCACAGGTGATGGTGGCAGATACACTGTGAGCAAGAAGGGCAAATCTATGTTCAGAACGGGTTTCTGTTCTGTAAAGATAAATAGTGCCCCTTCATGATGAAAGAGATCCGGCATCATTCACAGCTGACTGGCTCCCTTGAGTGCCGGTCATTCATAATCCAGTGTGCAGTGTCAGCCTTTGTTGTTGGCATTTTGGGTTCTTAGCAGAAGATGAACCAGATCAGGCTTGATGGACCCATGTTCAGCCTCTCTCCATACCACCCGGGGCTTTTATTCATTGCTCTTTAAAAATTCTATTTCTTTATTCCTTGACAATTTCATGCATACATTTCATAAAATGTATTTTGGTCATTTTCATTTCTCAGTACCCTCTCTCACACCCCCCACTTACACTGTACCCCCCCTTTCCCCCAACAAGTCCCCCTCTTATTTTCATGACTTTT